GGGAAATTACAATTATCACTATTAGGCCGAATAGCGGCCATAAAAATGAACATAATACCGAAACTATTATACTATTTTCAAATAATACCTATAAAATTGGATAAGAATTTTTTTCAGGAATTAGATAGGACGGTAATGAAATTTATATGGATGGGGAAAAAAGCACGCATAAAATTGAAAACTTTACAAGATAGTAGAACCAGAGGCGGCCTTGGACTCCCAAAATGGGAAACATATTATCAAGCAGCAATTTTACTATGGGTTAAGGAATGGATAAGCTTAAAAAATAAAAGGTAGAAGGTCGATTGAAGGTCATGACCTCCAAATTGGGTGGCATATCTTTCTATGGGATAAAAAGAATAAGATGCACTCCTATTTCCATAGGCATTTGATAAGGGACTCACTTTTACAAACATGGGAGAACATTAAAAAAAAAGCATTATTTGAAAAGACCAAACTGGATCTCACCTATGGAAGCTATATTATATCCAAATACAAGGGACATTAAAAAATGATTAGATATAAACAATTGGTAGATGAACAGGGGGAATTAAAAACACTGGCTAAACTAAAAAAAACAAGAGATAATATTAGACTGGTGGGTATATTTGCAAATTCAAACTAAATTTAAGAAAGATGTAAAGGAGCTAGGGATAGATAAAGATTTACAAAAATTGGACCAAATCTTGATAGGCAAGGATATAAAATTTATAACCTGAACATATAATTATTTACTGGAGGAAGAACTAGAAGAGGAAATTGTTAAGGGACCAATGATTGCCTGGGCGAGAAATGTAGGTCATGATATAAATTTGGATCAGTGGGAAAAGACTTGGACCGAGAACTGGAAGCTGACTTTGTCGATGGCATTCAAAGAAAATCAATATAAAATGTTTTGTAGATGGCACTTAGCACCAGCACGCCTGGCAAAAATGCATCCAACCTTGAAACCAGAATGCTGGAAGTGCAAACAAAATAAGGAATGTTTTTCCATATGTGGTAGCAATGGTAGAGGTCAAAAAATACTGGAAGAAAATACAGAGATGGCTTTTTGAGATTACAAAATATAAATTGAATTTGGAATCCGAAATGTTTTTATTAGGTATGATCAAAGGGAATTTGAGTAAAGATAAAAGATACCTTATTGTACACATCTTAACTGCAGCAAGAATCACGTTAGCACAAAATTGGAAGAGTGATAAAATACCACCAGACGAAGTTTTGATTCAAAAAATAATGGACTGTGCTGAACTAGATAAATTCACTATGGAACTGAAAGGAAAAAGGATCGAGAATACTATGCAACATGGGAGAGGTGGTATGAATGGGTGAAGGATAAAGATAAAAATAATGTATAGTCACAAAATAAGAAACATGTATATACAATAACTGTTAATGGAAATGAGATTTTTGTATTTTTTGTTTTTAAATAATTTTTTTTTTTTAAATGATGTTGAAATATATATGGCAAGGCAAAAAGACAAAGATTAAATTAAACTGCTACAGGATACTCGAATGAGAGGAGGTTTTGGACTACCCAACTGGGAAACATATTATCAGCCGTGGTATTGATGTGGATGAAAGAATGGATTGTTTTAAGAAATACTAGGCTGTTAATATTGGAAGGTCATGATTTACAATTGGGATGGCATCATTTTTATGGTGTAAGGAAAGTAAGCCACATGGTTACTTTCAGAGACACTACGTTTGAGATGCTCTATTGTCAACATGGCAGAAAATAAGGGGAAAACACTATTTGAAAACATCAGTTTGGTTATCAACAATGGAGAAATTTGTGTATCCAAATGTTTTTAAAATGGAACATATTGTTAAATGTTTAATGATGTTTTAAATGAAAAGGGTGAACTCAAAACAAACAAGAATTAGATGAACAAGGGATGAATATGAATTGGTATTCATATATGCAAGTACATTCTAGATATGAAAAAGACAATAAGGTATATGGGTATTATAAAGAATTGACAGCTAGATAAAATTTTAACAGGTACAGAAGATGTTGTAAAAACTATGTGACTATTTATTAGGAGTTAAATTAGAAGAACAGGTTAAAGAAACAATGATTGCTTGGGGGAAATTTTTTGGATAAATGGCAGAAATTATGGACTAGAAATTATAAATTAACAATGTCAACAGCCTATAAAGAGAATTTGTATAGGATGTTTTACAGGTGGCACCTACCCCCGGCAAGATTAGCAAAGATGTTTAAAGATAAATTGATGAAATGTTGGAAGTATCATCAGATACCTGGATCATACTACCATATGTGGTGGACATGCACAGAAGCTAAAAGATACACACATGGTTGGAAAAAATGGTAAAACAATACATAGACTTAAAGCCTGAGATATATTTATTGGGCATTTTTCCTGAAGGATATAGTAAAGAAATAACATATCTGATTATTAATGTATTAATAGCAGCTAGAATTGTATTTGCACAAAATTGGAAAAATGAGAACATTCCGATGGAGGAGGAAGTGATTAAGAAAGTAATGGAATGTGCAGAAATGAGTAGATTAACATTAGCAATTAGAGAGTAAGAGGAAAAGGAGTATTATAAGATTTGGGATTTATTCTATGGATGGTTAGAAAGTAGGGTAAGAAATTAAATGATATTGTGATAATGATATTTTATAATTGATTATTTTTTAATAAATTACAACACGAATATAATTTAGTATAGATGGAATTTGCCTTTAAGGATAGTTTGAAACTGAACTAAAAAAATCTAATGACAATGTAGTAATGATGCAATATGATACATAATGTTGACTAGAATATAATGTGAATGTAAACTCAATGAGAAATGTATACAAATATTAATATGTGCACAAGATATATGTACCTGGACAACACACTGTATATCTGAAAGATGGTTTTTATTTGTTGTTTTTGTTGTAAAAATAAAAAAAGATGTTATGTAAATTATCAACAAGAACACTAGGCAGATCTATTGCTGTTTGCAGAAGTGGCTTATAATAATGCGATACACAGTAGCACTGGCTTGACTCCTTTCCAAATCACTACCAGCATGGACTTTGTGCCTATGCCTGAGTTACCTAGAGAACCCCCAACATCCATGTCCTTAATGGATTGGATGGAATCATTAAAAAAAAGTTGGGAGAATACTAATAAAAGATCTAGCAGAAGCAGCTGAGGAGTATAAAAAGCAGGTAGACAAACATAGATCTCTCCAAACACCTTTTAAGGTGGGTGACAAAGTGTTTTTGTCAACTAAATATCTTAAGTTGAAGCTTTCTAGGAAGAAGTTGGGACCTAAATTTCTGGGTCCCTTTCCTATATCAAAAGTAATCAATCCAGTGACTGCCCAACTTAGCCTCCCACGGCTATTAGGGAAAATACACCCAGTCTTCCATAGTGGCTTGTTGAAGCCTGCTGTTGGTTCCAATCTACGAACCCATACCAGCAGCACCCCACAAACCTTTGGTAGTACAAGGAGAAACACATTATGAAATCAAGAAAATCCTTGACTCTACATTATATTGAGGATGATTACAACAATTGTGGCAGGAGTGGCAGGAGGGGATCCTGCAAAGGTGCTGCAAGGGGCGATGGGGCGGTGGCCAGTGGCCAAGCTGGAATCTGCTGTGCCACTGCTGCTAGCTCCTGAATAGGGGCTTTTCTGTGTTGGAAAAGGGTGGTGGCGGCTGCAGCCTGCTGCTGGATCTGACCCAATTGCTGCAAATTGGCCCCATGGTGGTCCCAAACCAGGTGGTGCAACTGGTGCTGGCATCCATTGGCATTGGACCCACCCATGACCAGGATAGAATCCCCAGCCTGGGGGAATATATTCTGCAGGCTAGCTGATGAGGGAGGCGGCAATTGGAGGTTGCAGCATCCCAAATGCTGGCTGCATCTGCTGTCTTTCCCCTGCTGCTTGCCCCTGCTATGCTGAGCCAATTGTTCGGTCATCTCTAGCCAAGTGGAATGTTGCCGACGTCACACTGGCTCCATTTCCAGGTCCTAGATCAGGAAAAGTGAATGTGGGTTGTATTAAGTTCCATTTCGGTTGGGGAGGTTGGGACTGTGGGACAGAACTACCCACTTCAAGTTGCTCAAAACACTCCAGGAACCGTGCCAACAATTGGCTGTGAGATGGAGGCAACAGATTCCATTCTCAGGAGTTGTCGGACCGCAAAGCCCCCATGTCTCTCCATTCTGGTTCATGGCCTGACTTCATCAGGCTGGAGTAGGAAATATGTTTAGGTGCCCTTTCTTCCTATCCCATTTTGGATTTAGATCAGTCTGGAAACTCTTTCAGGAATGTGTTTCTTTGGGCCGAGTGTCTAGTCTTTGTCTCTCCTCTGCAGCTTCAATGGCTTGCACAAATTCTTTAGAAGGAGGATACCAGGTCTCAAATCAGTCCTCCAGTATCCTTCTGTGATCTCCTCCATCTTCTCTGAGTCTTTGCATCACTTGAAGTTTAGGTCAGTACTGGAGCTCAGCACCCCGGACAGCCCCTTTCAGGATGCTAGTAGCTATTTACAGATTCGGGATAATGTCAGTGTTCCAGAAAACCTCAACTCAAATCAATAACTCTGACAGACATGTTCTCAAAGTTTCCTTTTATTAGAGTAGTAAACTGGCACATCTGGGAAATCCCGAATCTGAAAGTTCTGGGTTTCCCTTCAATAAGTAAAAAATTACAAATCCACACTCTGCACTCCTCATTGCATCACATGTCCCAATCACCATCCATTCCAACTTGAGACATCCCCTCAACCATCCCTCAGCTAGGTGCAGAAATAACATGATTTGACTTTAAAGAAGAATGTTATTATGTCTAACCACATACACTCCACAAAATTCTCCCCTTCCATTTTCCCAGGCTTAAGAATGTGGCAGTGTGGAAGCTTCTGGTGCTATTATGACTCCCAAAGCTGACACTCAATTTCCACTGGCAGAGGGCAGCAGGAGGCTGTTGCAGCTGAAAATGGAGTCTGGAAGGGCTGCACACAGCCTTCTGAGCTGCATTTTCACTGGCAGAGGCACTGCAGGCTGTGCTGTTTCTAGGGTGGCCCCACGGTCCAGATCTAAGCACCTGCAGGCCGAATCTGGTCCTCAGGCTTTTGAGTTGACACCCCTGGAACTCATGTTATACACTCTCATTTTAAACCATTTTAATGACAAAACCAATCTTACATTTTAAGTGTATTTCCAATGAAACTGGTCTATCAAGGCAACCTAATCTACCCAAATATGGGATGGAGCATCCTCTTCTGCTTTCACGTTTCAACCCCAATCCAGGAGCCTTCACAGCCAGTCGCTTTCGCGACAAAGTATTTTTTGTGTTGAATTTATATTTTTTTATTTTACCAACAAAGAAATAGAGACTAGTATAGATCTACTTCAGGCTATTTACTTCTCATCAGCTAGCCATATCCTTTCTGAGTTCGAATCCTTTATTTCTTTGTCAGTAAAATATAAATTTAACATCTTACATTTTGATTTCAGTAATTCATTTCCATGTACATTAATGTAGGATTCAGCATTAAGAAAAATATCCATTGTTATATAAATAGTAAAAAAGGTAACAATATTAGAAAATACAATAAACATTTTTAACTTTGTTGTTTCAGATTTACAGATTAACAGAGTTGGAAGGGACTTTGTAGCTCATCTAGTCCAATGCCCTGCCCAAGCAGGAGACCCTATATCATTTCTGATAGATAGCAGTCAGTCTCTTTATTTTTTTAAAAAAAGTTTTAAAAACAATTTTATTTACAAATTTAAAAACGTACAATTTCAAAAATACAGAAACAATAATAACACACAGTTTTTTACATTTGTTGTCGAATTTGGTAAGTCCTAAAAATCATTATTGGCTTGTACTAGTCACATATTCACACATTATCACATCCTAAGCGCTAAATAATTCACAATATACTCCATTCATTTTCATGTTGGCTTATAACTACTCTTCTATTACAAATACATTCATGCTTTTTAACTAATAAACACAAAAAATGTTATAAATGGCTAATAATAATAATAGTAGCAACAGAGAAAAGAAGGTTTAAAACCTTTAATTGTTTTTATGTACTTAATACATTATAAACTGCTGGATATAATTTGTATCTTAGGTTCATTTACACATTTCCCCTTTTATTATCTACCCACTTATACCATTTATCCTATATCCGGTAATAATCTGTATCGTCCTTCCTGTTAATTATAAATGTAAGCCTCTCCAGTTGGGCACACTCATGTTTTCTGAATAACAACCTGTATCGGGGTACATTCGGATTTTTCCAACATTGTGCTAGTGAGATACGTGCTGCAGTTAATAAATGGATGGTCAGATATTTTACTTTAGCAGAGTAGTCCCCTTTGATCATTCCCAACAAAAATAGTCCTGGTTTCCACTCCAGCCCAGTCTCTAAAATTTCTTCTATCCACATTTTTATTTTCAGCCAATATTTCTTTATCTCAGGACAAGTCCACCATGAATGAAAGTATGTACCAAAGTTCACTTTACATTTCCAACAGTAAGGATTGGCTGTCGGAAATATTTTGGCCAATCTAGAGGGCGCCAGATGCCATCTGTACATCATTTTATATAAATTCTCCTTGTGTGCTACTGATTTGGTTAGTGTCAGGTTTTTCTGCCAGATTTCTTCCCAGTCATCCAGAGCAATACTATAACCAAAGTTTTTTCCCAAGCTAACATGGGACCTTTCACAATTTTCTCAGCCATTTCATATTCTAATAAATAATTATATAATTTCAAACTTTTCTCAGGGTTTAAAAGTATTTTATCCAAATATGTATCTTTTACCTCAATTCCATATTTCTTTACGTCTTTATTGTACCTCAATTTTATTTGAAAATATGACCAATTATCAATAGCTATCTCTTGTGATTCTAGTTCCTGTTTCATTTTAATTCTTCCCTCGCTATCTAATATTTGGTAGTATTTAAGTTTTTTACTAATGTCTATTGTGTTTAAATGAAATCATTTATATAAAATGATGTACAGATCTGGCATCTGGCCTCCATCATTGAGAACCACCTCCGGATTTTAGTATAATGATTCTTTCTTATATCAGTCCAAACTTTAATTAAAAACTTTCGGAATACATGTCTGGTAAAATATAAATTATTTTTACTATTTGGGTACCATAGAAATGCATGCCAACCTAGCTGTAAATCATGTCCCTCCAATTGTAAAATCCTGTTATTCCTTAAATCAATCCAATCTTTTATCCACACTAATGCCGCTGCTCTATAATATGTCTCCCAGACAGGTAGTCCAAATCCACCCCAGCTTTTGTTATCTTGTAAATAAGGTTTTTTTATCCTTGTTTCTTCTTTGCCCAGATAAATTTCATCACAATTTTATCTAAATCTTTAAAGAATTTTTTGTCCATTTTTTGTCAATTCCATATCGGAATTGTTTGAAATAAATATAATATTTTAGGTAGAACGTTCATTTTCATTGTTGATATTCTACCTAATAATGAAATTTGCATCTTATTCCAATTTTCCAAGTCCTTCTCAATCTGTTTCAGTAATTTGGTATAATTGTCCTCTAGCAGATTTAATGTTCTAGCTCTTAACCAGATTCCCAAATATTTAATTTTATTTTCAATTTGTAATCCCATCTTTTCTTCCAATTTTTTTGTTTACTATTGTTATGTTTTCGACTAGCATTTTGGTTTTTTCCTTATTGATTTTTAATCCTGCTAATTTACCGAGGTTGTCTATTTCATTTAGTAAAGCTGGTCCTGGGCCTATTGGATCTTCTATAACAAAAACCATATCATCTGCGAAGGCTTGTAATTTATATTCTTGATTTTTAATTTTAATTCCTTTAATTTCCTAACTTAATCTAATTCTATCCAACAAAGTTTCCAAAATAGTTATAAAAAGCAGAGGTGAAAGAGGACATTCCTGTCTGACCCCCTTCCTTATTTCCAATGATTTGGTAATTTCTCTGTTTAATAATACATTGGCCTTTTGTGTGGCATAAATTGCATTCAACATTTTTACAAAATTATCTCCAAAATCCATCAAATTAATCTGCATTTTCTTAAAGTCCTGATTTAAGTTATCAAAGGCCTTTTCTGCATCCAGGAAGACCAAAGCCACTTAGCTTCCTGGATGCATTTCATAACATTCCAATATATCTATTATTGTTCTTGTGTTATATCTGATCTGCCTCGTGGGAAGAAATCCATTTTGATCCGGGTGAATTGTATCACTGAGTATTTTCTTTAATCTTTCCGCCATTACCGCCATAAAAATTTTGTAATCTGAGTTTAAAAGGGATATTGGTCTGTAATTCTTTGTTTGATTGGCATCTGTGCCCTCTTTTGGAATCAATGTTATATATGCTTTCATCCAAGATTCTGGTATTTTAGCATCCAGTAATACCCCATTGCAAATCTCTAATAACATTATCTCTAGTGTATCACTTATTTCTTTATATAGCTCATTTGGTAACCCATCTGGGCCTGACATTTTGTTTCTTTTTTGTTTTTGTATCGCTGCCTTTAGTTCATCTAAAGTTATTTCTTTATTCAACAGCTCTTTTTTGTCCTCTGATATTGGATAGAGAGTTCCTTCTTTCAAATATTCTTCTACTTTATTTAAATCAACTGCTTCTTGTTTGCAAAGATCTTCAAAGTACTCTCTTACAATTTCCTTTTTTTCTCCTGATCTATCTCTATTATTCCATTTTTATCTTGTAATTGGTATATCGTTCTTTTCTGATTTTCTTTTCTTAATTTGTATGCCAGCCACCTTCTGGGTTTATTCGCATAATTATTTGAAATAATTTTGTTTTGTATATAATAATTTTTTAATTAGTTCCTCTTGATCGAAAATGTTCATCTCATGTTTAACTATTGCTAGTTTGTTTCTGATATACTCATCTCCCGGGGTTTCCATTTGCTTATTTTCTAGTTTCTCTATCCTTTTTGTTAGGGCTTTCCGCTTCCTCTCTCTTTCCTTGTTTCTATTTGCTATATAAGCTATCATATTCCCCTTAAATATGCCTTTATTGTATCCCACAGGTTCTGCAATGAGGTATCCTGTTTTTTATTAAATTTGAAAAAGCTGATCAATTCTTCCTTAACTTTTTGAATATATTCTTTCTCTTTCAGTACTTGGGAATTAAATGTCCATCTACCTTTTTTATAATGACTATTTTTCCATACTATCTGTCTGCCCATGTGTTAACCAAAATTTTTATGTCCTGAATCTCTTTATATAGCTCACTATTTACCCAGGCCATATCTATCCTGGACCATGATTTCTGTGGGCTGGATTAGAAAGTGAACTGTGATATTCCTGGGTTCCTTTTTCTCCACGCATCCACTAATTCTAATTCTTCGACCATCTCTATAAATTTCTTAGGCAATGTATTCCGTTTCTTAAATTGTCTTTGTTCACAGGCATAATCTTGTCTATTATCTGTTATTGCATTATAGTCTCCTATTATGCAAATTCTTGGGTTTCCAAATTCTATTAATTTTTCATATAGGTTTTTGTAAAATTCACTCTGGTTTTTGTTAGGGGCATATATCCCCACCAATAATGTCTTTTTATTTTGTATTACCACTTCTACCATTACTATTCTTCCCAATTCATCTTTGTAAATCAATTCTGAGGCTATGTCTTCTTTTATATATAATACCCCTTTTTTCTTCTTCTGCCAATGCATACATTTGCCCCAACTTTTTATTTAATAGGTACCCTTTATCTCTATTCTTTATATGAACCTCTTGAATACATATTATATCCGCCTTTTGTTTTTCTAATTTAAAGAATATTCTTTTTCTCTTAGCTGGGTCATTTAACCCATAAATATTTATAAATATCAAATTAACTCCTTTATCCATTCCTTTCTTACTTCTATCCCTCAATATTTTTACCCATCATTTGACTTCCTCACTCCTATTTCTTCTCTTCCCAACGTCTCCTCATCTCCTTCCCTCTCCTTCTCCCTCCCCCTGCTTCTAGATTGTAGCTCTTCTTGGCTCAGAA